AACAAGAGCACAACCATGGACTACGATTGCGAAAGAAAGGAACGAATGGCATATGTGCTGGGGTCCGCACAGCTGGTGAAGACGGACCGTCCTAGTATCCAAGTACCAAATAAAGTTAATTTCTACAAATTTCGGGCCGGTTTGCAAATAAATCGAAATGCTCCAAAGTTTTGTTTCCATGTTCTATTCAAAGGCGCCATTCCGCTCAATGCACTTTGTACGAGAGCCCGCTTTTTGTAGAGTGCGGTGAAAAACAAACCCAAGTACCAAATTCTTTACACCGCCCCTTCTTAAGCAACGTTTTATACCTGAATTTACTTCGTCGGAAATGAAAGCCTGATAAACTAGGCCTTATCCTCGCTGGAATTCTTACCCGTTCTTATTATTACTCTTGGGCGTTCTTATTACTCTACACCTCTGATTAAGAGCCAGAACTTGCATCCATTGGAAATCGCTATTTCTTCGGCAATTTCAGAAACCCTTCTTTTGCATACGGTGGTGGCTATTCGAAACATTTTTCTTACAAGCGCCTTTTTGCTTTGTGAGGATTGGGAGCAGAGGTAATGAACAAACACATTTTTGTTGCTTGGCTTTCAGTACCACTTCGTGATGCTGCCATTTCCGGGTACGTTCTTTTTGAACGGTAAGAAACGAAAACCAGTTATCTTTCGCCTTTTCTAGGGTTATGTGATCTGACTGATCATTCAACAACCCGAAGTATTTTTCATTTCTTGTTCTTTGAGCAGGTGATAAGACAGTCATTTATATACCTACAATAAAGTAATAGCAGGAGATCGATTACTGACGCTTCCACTTAGATATAAAGGTAATGGCAGAGCTTGGTGCATGTTGCCGAACCAGTGCTAACTCTCTCATTTTAAAGACTCCGCAATGGAAGCCATCAGTGGACTCCTTGTGCAACACGGAGTAAATGACTTGTATAGCTCGTCGATTCAGCAGCTCATGGCCCTCTAAAAGGAGCACTGAACTGCTCAATCTTTGGATGTTCGGGGAAGTAGTTCGCAAGAGTGAATACATGGATTTAAAACATGGATTTCGATTAATTCCAGAATGATTCGCAAGGACGAGTGCTTTGTGATCACGATGTGAGTCGAGCACATTCCTAGCCCATGTAAGACTCTGTGCTTCACCAAATAACTAGGAGACTTACAAAGGAAAACATGATTGGAGTTCAAAAGAAACTGTTTATTATGCGAGTGAAAATTGATGTGTTAAGCTTTGTCTGCTCAGGTTATGAAAGTAGATTGCTTGCCAATTTGACCATGTCAGGCTCTGAAGAAGGTGAACACGCCTTAACATCTGCTATTATGAATAAATGCTTAATAACAAACTCGCCTTCGGTCATCAACAAAACAGTGATTGATTGATCAACGGTAAGCTTAAAAGAAAGTCTTTCTTGGGACTAGCTAAATCGGTTGGCTTTTTAATGCTATGTATACTTCTACTCAAGATGTGCTACTGGTTAGGATTCATTGAGCAAAGGCTAGGTTATCAAGCTTAGGTATCATCTTGCTATTAACCATTCTTCTAACAGAACTATTGAATTCAAGCGACATGTTTTCCCGCATCAAATAATTTCCGAAAAATTCTGGGCTGTATTTCCCTCAGTTATCAAGTTGTTACGAGGTTGGTTTTTTTATTCCAAGTTTTATTCGGCAAGCATCTTATTAACCGTCTTCGTCTTCTTCGGAGCCTAGTAGACACGAGTCGCATATCCATTCATCCTGGCGAAGCGGGTCCTCGTTGTTAGATCGAGTTTAATCCGATGACGCGGACACAGCTGGAAATAAAATTTCTTCCTGGAGAGGTCTTTCTTATTTAGAACAGTCTGCATTGTGTTTATTGGCGAACAATTTTTGATAAACAAGTGAAAAGCTAGTCTTAACCTTTTTATTTACTGCCTTTTTCTTCTTAATGGCAGGGTATGTTGCGAAATATAACTCGTATATAATGCTGAGATATTTGCAAAACTCTGGGCCACAGGTGTATGCGGTGGGGAACGAACGCGCGCTATTGTCCTTACCGGGGTTTAGCGCACTTCACCACCACACCAAAGGCAGTAAATAAAAGGGTTATGATTGTGATTATAACTAAGCCTCAACTTAACCGGGTTCAATGCCAATTTGTGCTCCCCAGATCAATCCCGTTGACGGGTGATTGCTGATGGCAAAAGATCAATAGAACTAGCCTGAGAGACAGGCAAAACGAGGGACCAGGATGGTGTGGTGGTGAAGTGCGCTACTCCCCGGAAAGGACAATAGTGCGCGTTCGTTCCCCACCGCATACACCTGCGGTTCGGAGTTTTGCAAATATCTCAGCATTATATACGAGTGAAAAGCTAGTTTGCGGTGTACAATGAATGGATCCTAGCTATGTATGCGGTTTTATCGTTTCCCAGGTTAAACTGCTTGTAGACAATCATAGAGGTAGTGGAATCACCTGAGAGAGGCGAACAAATCTAGCATTGTGTAAAATGTTATTGGTACCCCACCAAAGCGACAAAATTGTTATGCAGACCACTCCCTACCGTAGAATGTATCCTGTTGCTAAGACTACACTTGTACCTATCGCATATCGTTACATCTCTAGTATGTTATTTGTACGTGATTTCGCATGTTATTCTCATTCATCTTATTATGAAATCAACTTATTTGCAGTGCCTGTGGAATGCGCAAGCAGGTGATTCGTATTCCGGCCTCGCAGCTGGCGGTGAGGGGCGCTTCGTGTCGTTGTGCTCGTAGTGTTCTTTGTAAGTTAACACCTGCAAACTTGTGGAAAGACTTGCTAAAAGATATTCACGCTTAACACATTGTCGCTTGCATTCAGGCAAAGAGGGAAAATTGCCACCACTTTTGTAACCACTTCTCCCTCCATGAGCATAAGCTGGAATAAAGTTGACCAAGGTGCTCACATCACCTATGAGTTAAAATAATCCCTCAATCCTTTTGAGATCACAGGACATTGCTAGCTTTGCTATACCGATATTGTTACATAGTTTATTGTTTCTATAATGACTTGATAGGAGAACTTTGAAGTTCAAGATACGGTAAACTCAAAAGGTCCCGTGAAGGAAATCATACAAAAATAGGCATTCTAAAGTCATCACAATTTGTGCCGATCCCAGCACTCATTCGTCTCGTTTAATACTCTATCATGCATCATCGATAAAGGTTGCATTCTCTCGAAATTTAACCACTGTCTCCACACTGACATGTTGAAGCTAATTTAATTAATTCAAACAAACTGCGAATAATTTCAACTTATTGTTTACTGCCTAGTCTTTTTAATGGCAGGGTATGCTGCAAAATACAGCTTCAATGATGCTGAGATATTTGGAAAGCTCTGGATCGCAGGTCTGTGCTGTGGGGAACGAACGCGTTATTACCCTTTCTGGGGGCTAGCACGTTTACCAGCACACCATGTGGGCCCAGTTTGGGCTCCCCAGATCAATCCCGCTAACAGGTGATTGCTGATGGCATTGATCGATAGAATTACCTGAGAAATAGGCCAAATGAAGGGTCTGCATGGTGTGGTGGTAAACGCGTCAGCCCCCGGGAAGGGTAGTAGCGCGTACGTTCCCCACAGCACAGACCTGCGGTCCAGAGTTTTGCAAATATCTCAGCATCATTGAAAATGTAAATAATAAATTTTTATAAATTAGAGATAGCCGTGGCAGGGCGTTCTAAAGTCAAAATCACAAAATCACAGGCTGTCGCCGACTTTTGTGAAACGGAAAGAGAATTGGTGTCTGGCCACTTAAACTATTGTAGGACAACAGGATCGAAATCCTAAGCTTGGTTGTGCGATCGATCGAGTATGATGCACAAGCAAGAAGCTCACATAAGCCAGTTAGATGGTTGGACCCTTTCTAACTTGTTGAGGAGATTCCATGACAAACTGTCAGTAGAGCAAGATGTTTCATGCACAGATACGCTGCCTATCATGCTGACTTATATTATAGCTCTTTAATCATTTGGCCATCTTACGTTTCCAATCTTAGCGTCTGAAGATGATAAATACCGGCAATTACTTCTTAGAGCTGAAATTTGCGCAAACGTAAACCACGTCAATGTGGGTTGACCTTTAGAAAATGTAACCATTCTCAAGGATACCTATGAGATGAGTGGCCATGTTTGTTACTCACAAATTATATTTAAAGACGTCACCATACTGAAAGTGGCAAAAGAACGATGTAAAGAACTCTTGGTTCCACAATACTTGTGAAGAACGACAATCCAGAAGTCCACCCTCATCTGGACCTTTTTTCAGGCAGTTTCTTACTTTTCTCGCTAGAAAGAAGTCCCATAAGGTGAAACCAACAACCCAACAAAATGACTGAATGTTGCTATTGCGTTGGGGTATACGGCTAAGAACACCACATTAAAACACTCAGAAATCATTTTCTCTCATTCCAAACGGCTTATTTCATTAGTCCTTCCAACGGTTTACCGCCTAATGGTCGCTAGGACGTTTTCCTGGGTGTCGGGCTGCGATGAACAGTAGGCGATTCATCTTCACGGCAGGGCCTCCCAAGCTGAAAAGGAGTCCGACGTTTCTATCAGGAGACCCGGACTAAGAGTAAACCAGTACCAGGATCCACCACCGTCCTGTTATCAAACTAATCGCATGGTAAAAATCCCTCTCTGATCCACTAATGGCGAGTGCCTGTGGTGGTGACGACCTGGGGCAGCCTCTGCTTGGCTGACCTGGGGAGTCCAGGAAACCATAATGGCTAAACTAGCAAAACTGCGAAAAATGGGAATTTTTCTGGGCCTCGCATAAGTAGCAAAGACGGGCCCTCCAAATACCCAAGTAAGTAGGCAACTTCTTCAGTAGAGAAGCGTAGGTTGAAACCATGATGTGGTACCAAGATCCTCGTCTGTTTAGGCTTCCGACCGCAAAGATTTTATTGAATCACGAAGAAGTTGCGCGACTCATGTTTAAAAAAACGGTTATTATACAATTCACCCAAATAAACATCAAAAAATCAGAAAAAACAAACTGAGTCTAGAAATTTTCATCTAGATAAAAGCAAACATATGTTGTCCCTATAATATTTGGTGACGAATGTGTTACAACGGTGGAACATCACGTTCTACAAAGTGCCAGAGCTCGGCGGACACGATTACCATCGCGACGATTGGAAGAGAGGAGCGACGATGACAGCTGCTATCATCGAAAAACTCGATGATAAGTTGCACATCTCGTGCACACAAGTGTAGCACTGACCTGATCCTCCTTGAGCTTTGCAGTTTCCCTAAATGTATGTCTCCTTATTTTTCTATACGTTCTGTTGCTTTGGTTCCTTATTCTCATTTTCTTTAAAACGCGGTGATAAAAGTCAATCGAGTCGAAAAACCATAGACAATATAACAGCTTCCGTCGTTCAATGTCTTTGACTATCAAACATATATATATATATACATATATATATGTATATATATAGAACACATATACATATAAGGGCGCGTGTGGGGCAGTGGTCGGAGGGGCTCTGCGACGCACACATGGCATCGATCTACGTCTCCGTGGATCACCAAGCCTTCCATCCCTCTGAGATAGGCAAATTGCTACTAGACTTGTCTGGGAGGATAGCAGCACTGGCTCTACACCTCGGTAGGCCACCGCGATTAATTTTAAAGGCCAACTATACATTCGGTCACCTCCAAACGATGAATGAAGTCGAATGCATGGCGCATCCCTCAGGGATTTATCAACGCCGAGAGCTTTATCCTTTATCCTTTATTAAGCACGTATGAGTCTCGGAAAGCAATAAATTTCTACGCTGCTTTTTTCTTTTTTCAGCTAGGATTTTTAGCTCAACTAGGATATTCTTTGATGCTACAGCTTTTTTCCTTGGTCTGATTCCCGTCTTGTTTTTCTTAAGCGCTCAGCCTTTCTAACTGAATGCGTTGAAGCACCAAGGCAGTGATGTATGGCTTAGTTAACAGGAAGTATGTTCGCGTTTGATGTATCTATCACATTTTAAAGAATAAACCTTTATGAAATTTAGAAAAGTTTTTAAAGAGAAAAGACCTGTAATGCCCGACATACGACAGCAGGATTCGCTGGATCATTGCATCCTTTATAAATTTCTTCGTCTGAAAAATGGAATCCATAAAAAGACCGTATGTTTTTAAAGGAGGACAGCACCACTTAGAAGAGTGACCTATAGTGGACCACATATATGGAATGTTCGATAGAAAGTTCACAGACTAAAGTTCTAGCCATTGTGAAATTGGTAACAAGAGATGCTTGCACGAATAATTATACTTGTAAGAATTCACCATGCACAAAAACTGGCATGAATAAGTAACCAAATTTATTATTCATGCTTTCTTAACTATCTTTTTGGATTAGAGCCTTCCTAAAGATGATCACAAAATTATACTTGAATTCAGAACTAAAGCTCGAGTGGGAGCTTCTTCACTAAAATTCAACCGGAAAGGTAGTAACTGCAAAAATCCAGTGAATGAGCTCAATCGCACCACCGTAAAACCGCCTTGTAGTGAAAGAAAAAGAGCACTTTTACAGCCACCAATCGTGGGACATATTGAAATTTGGACTCATTAATTCACTCATTCTCACCGTTTTGCGGTGGTACTGTCATTTTCTTCCATTCAAACCTTTATGCCTCACTTAGGTGGTCCTTATTCAACAAATGAATCACCCACCCTCCCTTAGTCTGCAGACAAACTTCATGCACGACGTGATGTGCTCTGGACACTGTTGGACGAAAGCTCCTTGTACCGTATTCATCACATTGCAGTGCAGTGAGTCTAAAATTTAGTTAAGTTCTCCAGTCTCCATAGCTGCGGATGAACCTTCTTTCAATGAACCGGACTGCACAACATCCCAATTCTTTCCAATGGGCCGGAGCTTACGACCAAGTCATCTTTATTGAGGAACAAGGTGTGATACCGAAAGAGATTATACTGATAGAACTTATTCATGTTGATCTAAACTAAGGAGCAGATAGCACAGTAGTAGCGTCGATTCCGCTCCGAGCCAATCAAGCCTCGCATCCCTCCAAAGTGTGAAAGTTGGTACCGGACTTATCTAGGAAAAAATCACTCTCTACAATGCAACTGGGAACGCTCCATTCTAGACTAGAGGGAGAATCGATTCGGTCAGCATTCTACGACGTTCATGACGAAATGAAAATGCTCAAGTAGTAGCCGAAGCCACAGGTAAAAGCTGGAAGAAAACCATTTCGAAGGTTGTCACTGGATTATATAATCTTCACGATCAATGTATCCCATTTCGACCATCTTTGTATTTTGTCGCTCAAATGATTTCCCGTAATGAAGGAATAAACTCAGCATTATTCATTGGTCCTGCTTCGGCTTTTTCGATGTGGAATCTTTGAAAGATTTCATTTCACTGACTCGAACTGTAGCTTATTCGATAATGGAAAACGAAAGCGTTTTAAATGCTAGCGAAACAAACCAGTCCAAAAAAGAACGTAAGAACTATTATAAAAATGTCTTTCCGAGAAAGCATTATAACAAAATCAAATTTAAAAGTCTATCCTGATATTTACATGTGATGTTAGAAAAAACATTGATCGCCAAGCTACAACAAAGCCATAACAATGTTTCAAAACCGACTTACATTTAACCTCGGTATTACTAATCAACATATATTCTTTCTTTGATGAGCTTACACAAGTTTGAGAAAGAGTTTTATTCGGCTAATGTTTCGACGTCTTCTTCTTCTTCTTCAGAGCCGACGATCCGAGTCGATAGTCCACCGTTCTTCTTCGTCGAGGCCCTCTCGATGTGACATCTTCGCCTTTGTATCGAGTTGTGTCTTCCTCACCGAGCCATCTCTCGAATGAGGAATATTCACTCGGTAATGCCCCTTTATGCAGGGCCCATTCACTCGGCGATGCCCTTCTATGCATGGCCTCATTCAAGAGGTGGTCCGCTGAGGAAGGCACAACTTGATACGAAAGCGAAGACGTCACATCGGAACGAAGAAGAATGGCGGACTATCGACCTGGATCGTTGGACCTAATGAAGACGAAGACGTCGGAACGTTAGCCGAATAAAACTGTTTATCAACCTCGTGTAAGCTCATCAAAGCCATAACAGTAATTACTGCGTGGAATCATGTTACCTTAGGACACTTTCTACCAAAGGAAAATCTCTAATTAAATCTTTTACACCGAAATATTGCCACGAAAAAAATCTAATTACCAGAACTGTGGATGACTGCTAGTGAAATAAGAAAGCAAGGCGGAAGATTCATAGCTGAACAGAATAACGACAGTCGTTCGGTAAAACGACGTACATGTGAAAGGGTGAAAATCGTTGACGGGAGAGCAAACAGTTCGTAGCATTGTCGACACCTACGATCTCCTTGCGGAACGAGCGTGCAAACCTGCTATGCATCTCGTCAGGTACTGTAGTGAGTATAGAAAAGTTGCCTTTAAGGCTGACATTTCGATGAGATGGGCTATTGATTTTTTGGAAGCCCACATACTGAGAGGAACGCAAAAATTCTGAAACGAGAACTATCGATTTTTCGTTGAGCTTCTTCAGCCTTTGCGGAACAGGAGTGGGTCACTGTTGCGTCGTACTGTATGAAAAAATTACGGAGTTTTATTTCCAAGCGAATGAATTCTACAGCAAACTGTCTTAAACATTGGTAACTATAATATTTCGTTGCGTCTGTCTCACTGTCCTCAAAAATTGTTCTTTTAGTGAAGGTTTAAACAACTCAAGACGAACCCAAGACTTCTTTAGGTTTCCATCTTCTTCCCACTTGCTCGCATTTCAAGACTGCACACGCTCAACTTTTCTTGTAAAGTTGATGACGGAAATTTGCTCCAGTATTTTTTAAGGCAACCGTCATTTAGCCTCGGCATTATTAATCAATGCCTTCTTACATTATTAAGCCAACCCGAGATTGAAGAGAGAAACATCTTTATTCAAGTTAAGCCTAAGTGCAAAATTTCCTTTGGGGAAAACCTACACGTACGAAGAAATGCACAGCTTTGACATTAAGCGTCATCACAGCCAACTTCCGTTAAGGTAGAAGATAGGAACCGCACAAACATATTTCCTAATCCACATAATTATATATCTTCAAAATGAATAAATCCTTCATAGGTGAAGCAAATTGCACACGGACATCTGGGCTACAGGATGAGAGAGGGGATAATCATAATGACCCACCGATTTGATGGTCCGTTTTGCTCTATGATCTCGTCATTGTCCTATCGCGCATTAGTCAGTTAGTCCTATCGCAGTCATTTCAGAAAGGCAAAATGTTTACAGTTTACCTAAAATTAGCTCCCTTTAGCTTCCAACCTGGGTTTTCAAAAGACTTCACTTCTTTGTTATCCTTCTTCAATTGATTCAGTAGTAATTTATATTACATTTTTCGTAACCCATCTTTACATTTACTGTGCTGATCCCAGCCCTTCTTGCGTCGTATTTGTTTGCTCAGATCAATTACCCACGAACATTCGCACGTGTGAGCTCGCCTGCTGCTTGAGAATTGTTATTTTCTTTACGAATATTGTTGAACACCGGTCGTGTCTATTCTTCGTCGAGTCCTGAGATTGGTGTTCTGGAGAGTTACCCCGTGGATTGGGAAAGTGAGTTGAGCCCAGACAAGTCCGGTACCAATTTCCCGACCCAAGAGGGATGGGAGGCTTGTGAACCCCGTGCAGATAAAATCGAACCAGAACCGTGCTCATGATGAGCATCATCACTACACTGCTAAATCTCCACCCCATTAGTGGTAATTTAAGAGCAACAATTAAAAAACCTTTTTAAGCGCAGTTAGACATGACGGATAGAAAAAAATTTAGCATACTGTATCTTAACTATCTGAAAGAAAGTGGGAAAAACTTTATCATGTCATATGGGTGGAACCCGCAACCGTCTTGACAGATGTATTTCAATAGTTACGTTCTCGTTCCAGTACTTGAGAAAATATCTTAGGATAGAAGATTTGACAATAAATTCTAAGCGGCTAGCTGATTCTTCTATACGAAAATACGGAAAGGTTGCATAGTGCCGCACAATGTACCAAACAGCATTGCCACCCCGTATACAGAAGCACAAGGGATAAAACGTTCGGCTTTAATCAATTTCGACTTTCATTAAGCGTTGCAGAGGTGTTTGAATATATATTTCGCCTATACTTGCCACTGCGATAACGTACTGTTGTATCAAGTCAGTGCTGCCATTCTCCTAACCAACTCTGGAGTTAATTTTTTGACCTCAGATAGATGGAATAGTTGGCGAGCCTGGACGTGAGAACGTACCAACAGCCGAAACTGTGTGTATTTCAGGGCACCTGCAGCCACTGTACTACACGCACTCCTTGCTACCCATCGGACCAGTTTTAAACTCTGATAACATTTCCTGAAACAATTTCTTGGAATGGGAACTGAGTCAGGAAAATAAAAGAAAAAATGAGTAGGAAAAGCCATAAACCATAACTATAGTAACTATTCCTTAAGCAGTTCCTATTTTTATGTTACCTTATGTCTTCTACAATAGCTATGTACTTGTAATCGTCATACATCTATTCTTGCATATTCTGTAAATTGTCTCTTAACGATCATTTCATGCAGTTGCCTTGCAGGTGGCTGGAAAGGGAATCAGCAGCAGTCAGCTGAATGTACTTTCCAGCATCTGCCGTCAATAAGAAGTTTCCGAACAAGCACTTCCGCCCTTTCACATGTAGCCCTATCAGATTGTGCTAGTAGAAAAACGTTTAGAGCCTCTCTCTAGGAGCTGCCTTCAGTTCCTTCTGGAAAAGCACACCCCCTACAGAAGTAATACAGGCAGCCCATCAGCATTCGTCTTCAAGTGTTCGCAGCGTTCGTTCGGTCTTCATCCAGTCCTTTGGTTCCTCAGCGCTCCAACTCTAGTGTCCGCCTTGCTTCCTTCAGTCGTATCACTTGTTCTCATTTCAATCTCGCTCGTATATAACCAGCTAACCACATATCGTCACATATTACAAATTATTATTGTACCGTTGTTAATGCTATAAACTATTATAACTTAAACTCGAGGTTGTCCACGGCAGTGACGGAAAAAAGTCCCGCGTGGCGAATTCATGTAAAGTCGAGCATTCCATGTACGGTT